CAAACATACGACAACAAATAAAAAAAGGACTACCAACATCACGATTTTCAAGTATTTTATTTCATAAAATTCGCATTTTAACAAAAGAACCAAGGTCTGGACCTTTTGTATAATTTTTTTTTTATATCTGTCAACATGCAACACATGCATGCATATATTATTATGTACTTATGCGTTAATATACTTATCTTCAAGGTATTAACATGCTCGGCAAATCAAAGATAAGAAAACGCGGGATTTGGTAATGGGAGCTTAAATTATTAATGAAAAGCTGTACATGCCATGCATTATTAATCTAACCAGCGTGTATCTAAATTATGAGCCACAGGTAGTGCGAAGGGTTCGGCGAGGTGGAGAGGAGCTTCTAACATTCCACAATCACGAAAGACCGGTTTTATGAACTAGCTACACACAACACGCCAAAAACAAGAACAATTGTATAAAGCAAATTACTTCTCGATAACTGGCAAGGCAAAATGCTTTTCCATTTCCAAAAAAAAAAACAAAACAAAAGCTTTCAGACATGCTTTGCCCGACATAAAACTTCCTGGGACAACATCGAATGGCATGACATGAATCGACTAGGTCGCATTAACAAAAGAACTATTGTATTGTGTATCACTTACCTTGTTTGAGGAGGTCGTTACAGGTGAACAAAAACTGCTAGAAACCACTACAAACAGCGAAAACGACTTTACAATCACGTTAGAAAAAAAATCGACAATCAGCAAGTGGTTGATCCCAACACACATCAACTAAATTATTTGACAATGATAGAAAACAAATTAGAAGGAAATGAGGAGGCCGATTGTGAGAGGTGGGAATGCAAATTAAACAAAGACGGATATACAAATATGGTGCGCGCGCCTCTGCTCTTCCTTTCAAACCGTGCGAAGCGTATTGATTTTCAAAACAAAAACAATGACGTGCGTGTGAAAATATTTGAATCCAGTTGACTTACTTGCGAATATGAGAAGTATCGCATGGAGTGCGGCTATTATTTACCTGCAAGTATGGTCAATGCTTTTATTCCGCAGATTTGCGGCAGCCCAGAAAGTTACGTACACGTTCCCCGAGTTTCCTTACAAAGAGACCAACAAAAACGTAAGAGCTGATTTAGAATGAATGAATCTTTGTCTCATACGTTTCTGAATAGGAGGTGATGTTCAGGGAGGTGGAGGCTGCGTGTGAAAGGGGTTGCTTGGGGAGGCACGGCGTGTCGAAAGTATTGTGCATTAGACAGTGCGTTTCCCCGTCCTGTTACAGGGATTTGTATCAGTCAGACTTGGTAGGTATAAAAAAATTTAAGAAACCTTTCTTACCAATTATTAGGTGAGTATTTTATATGTATAATTCATTCACGTTATTTTTTTCACGGTCAGGTGCAGCTGTGAAAGCTAAATTCTATCAGTATACAGGTATGAGGTGTTAAAAACACATACAATGTGCATGTAGGTACTTTTTGTTGTAATTTTGGTTAAAAAACACAGTACAAATGGAAAATAGGTTAGTTTAATTAATCTTCCCAGCGTTACCAACGAATAAATTAAGGGATAAAACGTGAAGGAAATGGTTTCGGAAAAAGGTAATGATAACAGATTTTTTTCCCAAGTTGCTAAGACACAAATCTAACAAATATAGGGAAAAAAGATACTTTTAGATACTTTTGTACTGACGCTTTCACCTTTATATCACAAAGCATTGCCTTGCAAAGAAACAATTTCTC